TGCACGGAATGATGTGAAAATAAAACATCGTGCAGTGCATATATCATAGTATATTTAGATATAAACGATCTGCACTGTGAACTAACGAAAAAAAAAAAAAAAAAAAAAAAAAAAAAAAAAAAAAAAAAAAAAAATTTTTTTTTTTTTTTTTTTTTTTTTTTGCAATTTTTTCTAAAGTCCTCCTTGGAAATCTTACTAAAACACTTGAATGAAAAAATAAGGGCGAAATCCTAAACGTGTGCGAAAAATATATCGACTCATTATTTATCGAAGGGGGAAACAGCCCGATCAAAAAAGAGAAAAGCTTTGCCTACGTATGGACCACCAGTCAGAGCCGAGAGAGAGCTTTTCACGATTTAAGAGCAATCGCTTGCGCGTTACGAGTACACAAGTATACATATACTTTGATCAATCAACTGGACAAAAGGACGTTGGACGGTCCAGAGACACCTTTTTTTTTTACAGTGCTAATTTTTCGATGTACATCAATAACAGGGAAGCACTGCATCGAATTACCATTACAACGCATGTTTCATGTAAAATTTACGCAGAGGCGACAATGAACAATGCATCGATGATGATGATGATGGTAGATACTTGCATATATGGGGACGGCGTTGGTAATGAGAAAAAAAATCCATTTTCACAGTTGGATTGATCAAAATATACGTACTTTTAAAGCCACTGGTCTACCGGAACACAATAAGGTTGTCGTATCCTTACTGTACGGAAGAAAGAGCGAAGGAGGTGATGGAGGAGATGTTTCCTTTTTTCTTTTGTTTCGTTTTCACCCTCGTCTTGTACACCGCCTATATAACATGTACATTATACGTACAATTGTATGATAAACGGCACGACGAAACGATTAAAACAAAACCAAAAAAACACGTGTAATGGTTGCAAAGAGGCAAGGAGGAGGACTTGCTTCCACATATTTTGATGTCCGTGCAAGCTTAACTGGTGCCGCTGAACCTGAACTTTTATGAACTCGACTGCTGCGTGCGCGAGTGTGTATATGTTTTGTGTACATATTTATATATGTGTATGTGTGTGTGTGCGTGTGTGGGTGGGTGTACGTGCATTGTTGTTGTGTACTATAAATAATATATATATACGCCTACTAGTCGTCATGGACGCGTCGTGGGATTTGTACAAAGTTATTGAAAAAAACAAAACACTTTAGTGTGTGTACGTATGGAAAAGTAACCATTGCAATGTACGTTTTCTCGTCGAAGGCTTTGTGCTCCTGTGCACGGATGCACTCAATTGTCCGATGACCATATAAATACACTGAGAAAACCGAACGAGAGTCAGCGAATTGTCTCGTCAGTTTCTTGTTTTTCTTCTGTTATACAAGCGAGAGCGAGAAACGCCGCGGTTCATGTTAATCGAGGAGCACTGTTATACAGTGCCGCGTAAACGTGATTTGCGGAAGGAATTAAAACGCACCGGTGGCACGTATAGACATGTAATTTATGATGGGTGATTCCCTTGTGAAATCACGAATCGGTACTTCGCTGTGGTTGTTTGCACTCGTATGGGATATTATGTGATTGTTGAGAACGATTGTGGGTGCGAACATTACAATTGCGCGTTTGCGGAAAAAGAAGCGCAAACAGTGTATGTACCTGTATCGAGGCTTGTTGACGGGTGTTTTAATTGCTTCCGATTGGCAAACGCTCGCGTGGATGTTGTCGCTGCAGGTGCGTTGCACAACAATGATGTATTTGTAGTAATGTATGGACTGTGGTCGTATATTTTGTGAAATGGGAGGATACTAAAAATGTGGGACGGCGCTAAATTAATGATTATGGTTATTGCAATATAAATTGTTGTTTCGAAAGGGACGCTATGTTGTGTGTGTTATTGTGCAGCGGGACAGATTTTCTCCTTCATTGTGTACATGGTCCCTCGGAGTTTGAGGACAAAGGAGATAAAAAAAAAAAAAAACCTTTACTTTTCTCGATCGAGTGTTTTTTTAAGTCTCTTGTAATTGTTTCGTACGACTTGATGATCGTTACATTTTTGTTGTGTTACTATACGTGGTCCGGAGTTTAATCGGAATTCGAACAATGAAAAATAGAATGAATACTTTAAAAATTTCCT